CGAGGCGAGGTTGCCACAACCTTTACTTTGCAACAATTGGGGTACAAAGCACAATAGAGGGGGGCACCATAGAACGAGGTCTGCCGGGTCGAAAGGACCACCCTTTCTCTACTGTGTGTTCTTGGCTCCTTTGTTGTAAGCTAACAGAACGTGTGTATGTGGGTTTATCTGGGGCTCTGTGTTCTGGTGCCTTGGTCTGTGTGTCTGTTTTTCTGCCAGCGCCACACTGTTTGGATGACTATAGGTTAGTAACATAGTTTAAACTCAGGACGTGTGGTGCCTCCAGGTTCGCTCTTTCTCACGATTGCTTTTGCTGTCTGGTTCCATGCAAATGCAGACGGCTCGTTCTCTTCCTGTGCAGGGTGCCATTGGACTTGCACCGGGTCTGCAGGGGGCGTTGGGTAGTGGCGGCATTTTAACGACATTCATCCCTGTAACCCAGCAGTACGGAACACCTTTCCATTTATTTGTATCTTTTTCAGTGTCAAGAAAAATAGTTAAAACTTGAAAATAAGGGAGACAAGAAGTTTCCCCTCTAAGACACCCTGGGGTGTTATTTGAGGCCCCGCGAGGGACGTTCTCGTCTGGAGCCTGTGCTGTGCTGACTTTGCTGTCACTGCTGACGAGGAACGTGGGCTGTGTCAGCCGTGTCGACTTGCAGGGGCACGTCTGGCAGAAGGCCGCCCGGAGGTCGCAGCCCTCTGGCCTGCAGGACCCTGGCCCGAGTCACCTCTCGCTTGCCTGTCCCTCCCCTCCGGCTGCTGCCCTCCTCTGGTCCCCGTGTCGCTGGGCTCGTGCACTGTGGGTGCAGATTCGTGTTACGTTTGCATGACAGCCTTGCTCTTAATTTTCTGAAAATTGCACTCTGACAGCCTCAAAGCAGCCTGCAGCTGTGCTCCGTGTCCAGACCACGTGCCAGCATTCGGTCTGGAGTCACACCGGAGCCCTGGCCATCTGTGTGCCCCTCTGCATTCAGCGCCCCCCACCCTGTCACACGGGACCCCGTATACCGTTGGTCTAAGGTTCTTCTGAGGACCAAACAAGACACCACCAAGCGCTGCGGTAACAAGTACGACCATGAGAACAAGAGGAAGGCTCGGTCCCTGAAGTCTCCCCTGACAACAGGGGGCCCATCTAAGCCGGGGTGGGCGTCAGACAGGCGCCTCCCCGCCCACTGCCTGCTGGAGCCTTCCTGAGGGGGTCCTCAGAGCTCCCGGGTCCAGGCCCGGCCCCTGGCTGGCAGGAAGGGCTCTTTTGTCATTATTTAAACAGCTTTAGGAGACGTAATGGACACGCCACACGGGTCCCCCATCTAAGGGGTCAGGGGCGTGAGTGTGGTCACAGCTGTGTGCAGACGTCACCACTCTCGATTTCAGGACATGTTCGTCACCTGGAGGCGAATCAGCACTTTTAGCTGTGACCCCCACCCCCACCCACCTGCTTCTGCTCCAGGGGAATGGGGCCGTCTGAGGAGCTGTCTTCCGGTGGGGGGGGGGCTGCAGGGAGGGG